AATTTGCCAAATCATCTCATTGTACTTTAATTTTCAGAAAAGGCTCTTTCGAATCTAAGAGGGGAGAAGGGAAAAGTGCAAAAGGACACTGTAAGGCCGGGGTGGGGGGACGGCCTCTAGCAAGCTGAACCCACCAGCATCTACGCAGCGGACTGCCTTTAGGCGGTCCTTGTGCTGCTTCGTCAGAGACCTGAGAGGAGTCTGTTCGCAGCGACTTTGCTGGGGGCCGCCCGGGCGTTCGCGGCCGCTGACCGCTCTGTTCTTGCGACCTGAATGAATGGCCCGCCCGGAGACCTGGGCAGGCGCTTCTATTTCTCAGCTCCGGGATGAGGTGCTTCCGCGTTGAAGTTTGTTGCTGAGGGGTGATCACGAGAAGGAAACTAGGAAAAACGCGCCTGAGAATGCGCGAAGATAACCAGAGAAGTGGAGGCTGAGCTAAGCGTTCACGGCTGGCAAGCGGCTTCGAACGCCTAGTGCGTGACGCTTAGTAAGGCTGTGACGGGCGCTCCCACTGCCCGCGGCTCCGGCCGGCCTTCGCAGTCCGGGGGTAATCTGCATACGAAAGGGCGCCGGGAATCCGCCAGCGGGACGTCTGCGAGGGACGCGGGTTAGTCCGGGGGAAGGAGGCTGAGACTAAATCACCGCGCTCCGGGGGGCGGGCTGGCGCTACCCGCAGCGAGGTTACTGCTGCTTGGACTGCTGAGATCAAAAGAACTGCAAAAGAACCTCTCAGGTTCTAATGACATCCTGTTGCAGTAGGCTTTGGAGACCTTTCTTTTGGAAAACACATGACCAGAAACATAGACCAAATGTGTGACGTGAAGCGCAGGTTAGGAGAGCGTGTGTCCCGTCCCCCAGCGGGTGCTGCATGATGCCATGCGTGTCGCCATCTAACACAGGGCGTCATGGCATTGTACGTTCTCTACCAGCGACACCTGACCTGCTGCCTTCTCGGTTGTCTCACGGATCCCGAGACAGACCCTTGTGGGGCGGGACCCTCGCCCTCCTGTGACAAAAGGCGGAGTGGTCATGCTCTGTGAGGCGTCTGTTTTCGAATCTGAGCATGTGGTTTTGTTAGCAGCAGAGCTCCATACACTCCCTTTAGGGTGATGGGAAGATGGGCCTCCAGAACTTGAAAATTCGTATTTTGCACAGAGCCTGTCTTTGCCAGAGCCAGTGGTCACTGCTGTCTGCAGAGCACAGAGGCACACATGTAGTCGAATGGGAAAAAGACACAAGAAAAGTGTCACAGACGTGCCTGTCCACTATTTACCCTTAAACCACATATGCAGGGCTCCCCAAGTGCCAAGTCCTACCCAGGGACCTTGCAAGTGTCTACTCGTGCAGCTCGAGCCTCTGAAGAACCTCATGAGCAACGTCCGCACTGTCAGCGCTCCCGCACTGGGCGGCCGGGGACAGTGCACCCGCAGTCGGATCGGACGACCCTGTGCCCGGGGCTTGCTGGGCTTATTAGCCTTTTCAAACGCCAACTTGCTTGGTTCATTCTCACAATAACCCTCTGAGTAGGTAACTTAAATGATGCTTCTTCATTCTGCAGAATAGGAAACTGAGACCAGAGAGGTTAAGTAAGTTTCCCCAAGTTGCATGGCAAGCGCCCAGTGGAGCAGCTCTGAGCTGGGCCAGCCGGGCTTGCCTGCTGTGCCCGCCGCCTCCTTGATGGGCACGTGGAAAACAGCCAAGTTCTGGACTTGCTGTGGGCTGACTGCACAGCAGGCGTCTGGAGCCCAGGGGAACCCTGAGGGTCCTGCGTGGACACTGCTTCCCCTGGGGATGGTCCCCATCTCAGAAGGATGGGTAGTTCCAGGTTCCCACATACTTCTGGAGAAGCAGCTCCATGAATTTTTGGTCAGTCTTTGAAGCCCTAAACAAGGAGGGGTGAGGGTCCAGCTGGGTTTTGCCTCAGCAGGACGAGGGGCGTCCTGCTGCTGAGGGCCCTGGGGACACTCGCTCACTGGGGCGGCTCGGAGGCTGAGACTAGGGCGCACAGAGGCCGTGCAGGGGTTAACAGAGGAGCGGGCATCTGGCCAGTCTCTGACTTCTGGTCCAGTGTCCACGGAGCCTGCCAACTGAAAAGCCTCAAGAATGGAAAAACAGGCCTGCAGGAAAATAGAAAAGCAAAGTGAAAAGTGATTACTAAGTAGAATGCTATGTTTTTTGTAGTTGTGATCCACCAAACTAAGTTTACTTTAACTCACATACACTTGATATTTATTCTATTTAATTAAGTCACATGCACCCTTTTTTCCTTGGCTGTTTGCACAAAATGCCTTCATAGTTTTTTTTCTTCCCCCCAGGCTGATATTTTTCTAAATTCAAACTTCCTGGGTTTATGTCCCAGCTACACTTCTCAGTAACAGCATTGCTCTGGGCAAGTACTTAACTCTTCTGATCCTCCACTTACCCATCTGTAAAATAGAGATGATAATATCGTATTTATGTTTACCTCCTAGGTTAAGTAATGAGTATTTAGAATGTCACTAGCACAGTGCTAGTCAGCACGTGCTAGTCCGGTGAATACCAGCTGCAGTTGTCTCATTTGAAAAACACATTTCTTATCTGGTTTTGACTTCCTACAAATCCATCTGTTTCTGATTTTTATATACCAGCTGTTTTTAAGTGGTCATATGAGTGTGATGTCTGACCTGCACTAGAAGTTGCAGTTACGTGTCCACAAGTAACAGGGCTTTGTTTGGTCTGCAGGAGTCCCGCCGGGGAGGGGCAGGATGCTGTGGTCCCTGCTGCTGCTTGCCTCATGGGCCTGGTCTGGCATTCAGGGTGAGTGTCGACACATCTCCAGGCATCTGGGCTCCCAGGACGAGGCCCACCTGAGGGATGAGGTTAAACAAAGGGGAGTCGTGGTTGGAGCCCCTCACCTGTTAGAACCTTCTTAATTTAGTTTAAAATAAATCTCCACTTATTTTTGAGTCTATAAGATAGGAAATCATTTATTTTCAGAAAATCCAGGTGTTAGCGAAAAATATCCTCCTATCTGGAGATTCAGTCTCTTGCTGGGCACTTTTTGCCTTTTTTTTGTATGTGATGTTTACAATGTATTCAAGTATTTGGTGTTTTATAACTTCTTTTCCTCCCATTCTTCTTTTGCTTAAAAATATATTAAAAGGATTTTCCACCATGTTTATTTTCTTACATGAATTTTAATGATGGTATAATATTCCAGTAGAAGCTAAACCCTAATACTTTTAGAGCAATTCCCTGTTATGTTATTACTTTATTTTCACTGGTGTAACTGATGCCACGCAGAATATTGTTGTGAATACATATGTCCTAGCATTCATGATTATATACGTACGGTGAGCTCCCGAAGTAAAATTGTTGGGTCAAGGATTTTAATTATTTTAAGGATTTCTGATAGATGGCAAAATAGCTCTATTGATGGTGGTAAAATGACCACTTCTGTCAGCAACACTGTATATTATAATGCTTTAATTTGCCAAGCATTAGATGAAAATTTATGCTTTATTTAAACATTCTGTTCAGGAAATTATTTAAAGTGTTACAATTTTGGTCAGGTCTGATAACCTCTCTCCCCAGTAGTCTCAATGGTGAATTAAAACCATTCACTTAAGGACTTGGTTCCTGTCATCTCTCAGAGCCTTCCCTGCAGTGTGAACCATGAGTGACAGAACGTATTCTACAATAAGGGACATGGTTCCAGTCCGGTGATCTCTCTAAGAAAGCCAAGTACAATATAGTTCCTTCCTAGAAATGCATTGAGGACAAGGCTAGAGAGCCGTTCTCCATAGGGTGCTTCTCTGGGCCATCGGGGAGAGGGGGTCACACTTGAGTCTCATCTCCGGGACGGACGAGCAGGAGAGAGCAGGTGGCCCAGGGTCCTGGTCCGGGAGAAGGTGGGGATGTGCCAGGCGTAACCCAGGCCCTGCTTCCTTCCTGGCGGAAGCCTGGCCATGGGAAGCGTCAGCTGATCTGAACAGAGCCCTGGGTGCCTAGGCGGGTTTACCCCCGGCACCGCTCCCCAGCGGGTCAGGGATGCAGCTAGTGCTGTGGACAGGCAGCTGTCCTGGGGAGAGAGGGCAGCCGAGCTTTCATGAACCAAGGCCCTAGCATCCCCGAGGAGAAGGGAGGGGACGTGCAGTGTCGGCCTCCATAGGTGCTCCCGGGCAATGATGCTGGCGGCCTGGACTGAGGGAGCCCGTGCCTGCCGGGCTCCCAGTAACCTCCTGCTCTGCTTCCCGGGCAGCTGGAGACCAGGACGAGGACACCACCTTTGACCTCTTCAGCGCCAGCAACATCAACCGCAAGACCATCGGGGCCAAGCAGTTCCGGGGCCCGGACCCCCGCGTGCCCGCCTATCGCTTCGTCCGGTTCGACTACATCCCGCCGGTGGGCGCGGAGCATCTGGGCAGGATCGCCGAGGCCATGCGGCGGAAGGACGGCTTCTTCCTCACGGCCAGCCTGAAGCAGGACCGCAGGTCCCGGGGCACCCTGCTGGCCCTCGAGGGCCCCGGCGCCGCGCAGCGGCAGTTCGACATCATCTCCAACGGCCCCGCCGACACGCTGGACCTCACCTACTGGGTGGACGGCACCCAGCACGTCATCTCGCTGGAGGACGTGGGCCTGGCCGACTCCCAGTGGAAGAACATCACCGTGCAGGTGACCGGGGAGACCTACAGCCTGTACGTGGGCTGCGAGCTGATGGACAGCTTCACGCTGGACCAGCCCTTCTACGAGCAGCTGAAGACAGAAAGCAGCAGGATGTACGTGGCCAAAGGCTCCGGCCGAGAGAGTCACTTCCGGGTAGGTCCGCGGGGCTCCTGGCGCCCGCCCCGCGCGCCGCCTTCAAGGGGGCCGGCCCTGTCCTCGGAGGAG